GGCTGATGGAGGCCAGAGACTGACGGCAGACTGATGACTTCAGAGACTGAAGGCAGGCTGATGGACGTTTGACACTAACGGCAGCCTGATGGACGTCAGAGGCTGATGACAGGCTGGCGTACATCACAGGTTGGCGGCAGGGCGACATTGAACATGCATCAGACTTGCGAAATGATAGTGATTGCTTGAGACTAACGGCACAACGACACTCACACGCGTGACGACATCATGCTGCTTCACAAACCCGCGACTGCAGCACGCTGATGCGCACCGCTGCTGACGGCGGGCGTCATAGTTCTAGAACATCATGTTGTATGAAAATGAATAATTTTCCTTTCCCAACAGTTCTTTAAGGAAGTGTTCAACATTTGCATAACTTTTTTAACCGAAACAGCCATATTGAAGACCATTTGATGCAGTTCTCGGTCATGTCCTACTTCACACCTAAAATCCTCTAGCTGCTGAACTACACGCATACGAGGATGTGTAGACTACACGCCCAAGAGGATGAATAGACTTTGCGCAGACTACTTCAAGGCTACCTAGGTGTTCATGACGCCATAATAACATCCTTGACATCTTGCCATTCCAGTCATAAGTAGGCTTATGTTATCACATTTGATACTTGCTTCGATGTCGTCAAATGTGGAACATTCCTTTTAAACTTAATTCCTGCATCGTAAAAAACTTTGGTAGTCACTGGCTGACAGACAACATCAGCTGCTTATTTTCGTCGCATGTGCTTGTGCACCCCAGATACATCTGCCAGCTTGCCTTTGCTAGTCTGTTTCTCTGAGCCGTCACGGTGAATGAGCCTGTCCGCGAGTTTCACAGAGTTTCACAGAGTCCACAGAGTTTCACGTGTCGAGAAGCCGGCTTTAAAGAACACGCATAGATGTTTTCCCTGGATGGCGTGACGCATTTTCAGCTGTTCGTAGATAGCCCTGATTTAAATGGCTTTCCATATCGGACACATGTTTGAATGGTACGCCTTACGTTACCGTAACCAAAGCTCGCACCAACACGGAGATTATCTTTCATTGTATGCCATTTGTTAAGGAGACATTCACATAACGAAAAGTTTTCAAACGCTGCTACGCATCCTACGTAAGATAGGATGACATTGACAGATTCCTGCTGCGCCAGTGCATTATGATGACGTGACGTGCGGTGTGTGCATTTGCCCCGCGCTACTGGGGGAGGGGGGGGGGGGAGATTTTAAGGATGTCCGGGTATAGACGAACTCCTCGTTACAACATCCACTGCCGCCGACCGCCGAGTGTGTGGTCGTCGCCAACGAAGAAGGTACATACGTGTGCCCCAGGACTTGACATGTCCGAGACGTTTTGGGAAAGGCGGTGATGCCATTGTTTCAATGGCTTAGCCCTCCGAATCACCAACCTCCTCCCCCCCCCGCAGCACCAGTGGAGCGCCATGTCTCATATATCCAGATCTAAAACGAGACTCATGTCAAATTTTGCAGCCTTTGGCGCATTTGGTGCATGGCCACGAGTCAGCTGGAGGCCGCGTAAGTCATGCCAGTCTCGCTCGAGGCTGGATCCCGGGAGTTGCGTAAACCAGGGATGCAGCACCACCGGAGTCGGATCCCGGGAGCTGCGTAAACCAGGGATGCAGCGCTCCCGGAGTCGGATCCCGGGAGTCACGTAACCCAGGTACGCAGCGCTTCCACGCCCGTGCTGATAAAGTGCTGCTAATTGTTATGAGGAAAGGAGACAATGAGAGCGGCTGAAAGGTGTTGCCATATCAGAGGCACGTGCATGCTCACTTCATGTATGTTTTATTCACGTCTTAGGTTATTCTAAGTCGTGCTCTTGAAAACCAGCAACATGGACCGACCGGCAACGCGTCCCCAGTAAAATTCGCATGCCCCGTTTGTCAACGCCTCCAACAGAAGCCTTACCGACGTAGTAGCCCACACAACCGAATGCTTTATTTACATGCGTGGAATTGGTCACGTGTCGATGGACAAGCTGGTGATCTTTTGCTCGTGGGGGCAGTCCGATCATCCGTGATCGACCGCTGCAGTACTAAAGCACAAAATCGGGGCAAGCTATGGACAACGCATGAGTTAAAATGAACATGAGCTGTCTGATATGAAGATTTCGCTGCCTTCTGGCCTACGGGCCAATACAGATTTCGTCAGGGTGGAAGGCACAACACTATTGCATACACGAAATTTCATGCCCATTGAGAATTCAGGTTTGGCTCATATAGGGGGGGGGGGGGGGGTCTCTGGACTTCTGCGCCTTTCGAAAATTAAGATTTGGAACCATTTGAGGCTCTCCTGTAATTTGGTGCCTCTTGAATTCAAAGGTTATGTGGACCTCGAGATGAGGATATTTGTGCCTCTTCACCATGAGATATTGGTGTGCCTGCAGTCCAGGGGGGGGGGGGGGGGGAGGGGAATGAACAAATGGTCCCTCCAGGGGCGCATTCGGGGGGGGGGGGCAAGGGACCATGACCCCTCCATTTGGTGCCGAAGGAACCCATAGGCTTCGAAGAGGCCCATAGCCGGCCGAATAGACGCAGTTTTCTTACCCGCGAGAAGATTGAACGTCTTTGGACTTCCAGGCGACCAAGAACGGTCGCAAGCGAAATTAAAAAGCCCACGAGTAGACATAAATTCATCTTCATTGATTAAGAGGGTGGTGATTGGTAGACTTTAAGGCTCATTACGCTGTCCAGAGGCCCTACGCTGTTTACGGGGGCCCTATATGTCCACTTGCACGGTCAATCCGATCGTTAAGGAGCTTTCAACGTTATCCTTGATTTCTTTGCATTTACTCAGAGGGCCTCGCGCTGTTGCTGGGGCCCTTCCTGTTTGCGCGCCGAGGTGCTCTTGTCAATCAGGGGCATTCCATGGATTCTTCTCACTCCCCCGAAAGGCTCTGTACGCTATAGCCGGGGTCTTCATATGCTAACCTGCCTGGATATTCTCGGTTGCTCAAGGGCCCTTCACGTTGGTCTCGGATAGCCTCCGGATACACTTGCCAGATGCTCATGGCCCCTCTGTATTGATCTAGGCCCCTTTAAATTCTCTGTCGCTTGCTTAGGGTCCTATGCTCTTGTCGGAGGCCCTACCTGTTAATATGATAGGATACACTCGATCGTCCGGGGGGCCCCCACATCGTGTCGTGGATGTTTCTTATTTGAGCTGAGGGCCCTACGCTCTTGTAAGGGCCCTCGTCTGTTATTGTACTCGGGCACACTCGATCGTTCCTGGGCACTCCATATTTTGTCTTAGGTACTTCACATTTGAGTAGACGGTTCAATGTTCTTGTCGGGGCCCCATCCATTAGGCTGTTCGGGCCAGCGACGGACCCAGAGAGGGAGGGGGCGCTGAACCATGCTCCCCCCCCCCCTCTGTACCCCAAGGGGACCCATAGGCTCCGAGGGGGCCATGACCGGTCAAACAGACAGAGTTTTCTAACACAAAACATAACAAGACTGGACGCCTTTAGGCCTCCAGACGACCAAGAACAGTCGCAAGAGAGAGTGAAGAGCTCATGAGCCGACAAAGATAACTCTTCACTGATTGAGAGGGTAGTATTAAGGGTACGTTTTGAGGTTTCTTACGTTGTCCACAGGCGTGACACTTTTGCCGGGACATTTTGTATCCCTTTGTCGGATCAACCCGATCGCTAAGGGGCCCTCTATGTTGCACTTGGCCTCTTTGCATATTCTGGTAGGACCCTACGCTGCCGTTGGGGTACCATCTGCTTCCATGCCTAGTCACTCTTGATTGATCAGGAGCTCCCAGCGGATTCTTCCCATTCATTCGAGAGACTCTATACGCTTTTCCAGGCCCCACATGCCGGGGTGCGCTCATTTGTTCAGAAGCCTTTCATATTAGTCTCGGGTTCTTTCCACCTACCTGGAGGATTTTTGGCGTTCCTGGAGCTCATGTAAGGCAAGGCACAGAGTCACACGATGCTTAGGGACGCCTTACATTGATCTAGGCCTTTTGTCCTTTGGTCTTGTTTGTTGAGGACCCTTTACTCCTATCGGGGCTCACTCTGTAAACCTCCCGGGCACTCTTGGTGGCACAGGCGCCTTAATTCAAGCACACTGGTCTTTTGGGTAATTTTCCATTGCTCAGGAGGGCGATGTGCTCTGGTCGGGTTCCTTTACGTCAGTCAGCTGGGTCACATCCGATCGCTCAGGGGCCCACCACGCTGATCTTGGGTTCTTCTCGCTTGCTCTGAGGACCCTGTACTTATCGACGGAAGCCTCTTTGTTGGTTCTTATTGACGGAAGCATCTTTGTTGGCCTGTCGCGCACCTACGACCGCTCAGGTTTCATTCATCTCTGTCTACCTTGGTGCCTTGGTGTCTAAGGGCAGCAGTCGGATATACGCCAATACATTTTTGCGCGCAGTAGTCAAACATAACTTTACCTGTCGCTGACGTCATATGTGTAATTCCGTTGCTTATTGAAGTCGTGACACTTTTTTGACTTGTGCATCACATTATTCAAGTATCTCAAATTCTAGGATATTTTGTACTCCTTCATAACAAATAGAGCAAAAACTATGCACGAGTCATCCGCCACCAGCTGATCACATTGACCAGCCCGTGGAATGTAAATATGCGAGGAATGAAGATCGTGCTTAGTTTTAATAACACCTTTCAGGCAACTTCATATGCATTTTGTCATGTTTTATGCGAATAACAGCTTGCAAATGACAAGGTTTACCATGGAAGGGCTTCTGTATAAAATATTAGACTAGAAATCTTAGAATTTAATGGCCGGTATGCGCGGATTTTTTGGGAGACCCATAAATATAGGAACTACCGCCCCTTCCCCATCCACTCATGTCAAAATCCTGGATCTGCCCCTCGGCCCCTCCCACAGGGTCCGCCTCTGCTCTTCACCAGAAACTGATGATGAAACAGAAAGAAATGATAGGCTTCAATGACGTCATTCAGGTCTTTGGTGTGCATCGCGTGTTTGAGAATCAACCGCTCTTCCCAGTTTCAAACCCTTGTTAAGAAGATTGTGTCGAGGTGGTGGGGCGCCGGGCCGAGGTGTGCGTAAGGTTGTCAAGCATTCAGATTTCTGCTGCACATCTTGGGCAAACTAAAGAAGGCTCTGCTGGAAAGGTAATTTTTGCAATATCCAGTTGTGATTGCGTTCATTTCGTTTGTTCCTGATGTTGTACCGATAACCTGCGTCGTTTCACGTCTCGCGCTCGTGGCCCGTTAAGCAGAATAATGTATTAATTCAGTTTGAACCTCCTCTGTACTTTATGTCATTGGTTTGCCATAAAAACCAGCATAGAGTGTCCGTGATGAATTAAATGTAACCATGAACCTGAAGCAGTCTCCCTGTTTGCTATCAAGGACAGGTTTGCGGTCGCCGCGGCCGGGCGTTTTGAAAGGAAATATTTGCTGCTTAGTGGGAGTGGGGCCAAATCAAAATTTGAGCCATTGGGCCATAGAGCTCATGTTCCAGAGCAAGATTAAATGCACAGACCCATATATCTGGCTATAGCTTGCATGTCTGTAGGCTATTATGCACAGTCCCTGAGGATCAGACTGCAAAAATGCTTGTTTTTTATTATGTTTAGCACATCTGCCACATGGTGGCCAAAATTTTAGCACACACAGCAAAGATTCTGATGTTGACAGTGTGGTGAATAGAGCTACCAATTCCAGTGTCAAGAGCCAATATTTCAATGAATTGGGTGTGGTGGACAAATGCCTCACAAAATTACCCTTAAACATTTTTTTGCACTTAATTAAGGTGAAAGTTGAGCTTAAAAGTGTCTTGGCCTGATTTCAGTGCACACAAGCATGTTGTTGAGCACACTGATGATGTTATGTGCAGGCACAGTGGATGCACTTTCATAGGCTGGTGTAAGGGGCTGGATATCCTTTACAGTCTAGCCAGTAATTGTACATTAGCCACAAATGTTTTTCAGGGTTGCATCAGTGCAGTGTCAGTATTGTCCCAACAAAAAGTACTATTGAGATTAAAGTGTAGTTACTTAAGCTTGGAAGGAACCTGAAAGTAGAGGATTCAAGCAATCCCGACACATTCATGCATATGGTGACATGAAATCATTGCAAAAACACATGCCAAAGTTATCACAATAAGTGTGATTTCTACCTATCATCTTAAATTTTCATAATCTGAGATGCGCCTCTTGGTGTAGTTGTGAAACAGTAAAATGGTGAAGCATCCTGGTAACAACATTGTTGACAAATTAATTTGTTACTGGACATTTTGCACACACATGCACAAAATGCTGAAGCACTTTTGATTTGATTTGGCTTGAGCTCATCTTCATCATTATTTACAGGTTTTTGAGAAAAAGAAGTTTTCACTTTCAAACTTGTCCACTGGTTGCAGCATTGGAGGACAAGGATTGAGAGATTTTTCTTGAAACATTTGCAAGGACAACCATGCTTTCACATGGCAAGCAAACCTGGGTACATAAATAAGAAATGGTCGAAGCAGTGCCTCTGCATTTTTTATGCCTGCAGATAGACCTAATTTATTCCCATGTGATCTCTGTGGAGGGCAGTCATGTGCACAAGAGTGTGCGTGACCATCCTATTGCATTCCATTTCGTTGAAAAACCTGAATTATTTCTACCGCTGACAAGCATATTGGTAACAATTTGTGTCATTCACTTATCATTAAACATTATTATGGATTTGTGATCCTGAGCCAACACTATCTCTCAGCAATTTCACAATTCAAAATGTTGGTTTGTTGTAAAAGTAATTGTGTGCTTGGCAGTTACTTTCAGTTAAAAGCAGTGATTGGTATGTAGGGCAAAGAAAGCTTTTATGTGGGCCTGCAGTATAATGTTACTTGTGGTTTTGGTATGGGTTCGAAGGACATTTTCTACTCTCATGTGCATCCTACCACATGATGCAAAAATGATATCAGTTTATTTGTTACAGATAACCTCTTATAAAAGAGAAAGCTTTGGTTTTTATTTTCTGAAAATGGAATAGTTGCCTTTGTGTATGCCCTTAGCATGCCTTACACATATTATGAACAGTCAGTATTTACATTAATATGTTTGTATTTATGTGTGTCATGCCTGTGGAAAGTGTGTTTCTTTCCTCACATAAGTTATATGTTTTCCTTGTTGTGACTTTTGGTTATTGACACATGTTTCCTTTAATCAAATATATTTTTGCTTACAAATGCTATCAGATGCTAAATATGAGAGAACAGAATGTGCTAGATGGGATGATGCCATTTTTCAAAGGGCTTGAAGCATGATGATATGATAGAAAGTATTAAGTGTGTTGCTTTGGACTGAGCATTGCATCACATTGAAGAAGAGGTAGGCAGGGCTGGTTGCTGTACTATTGGCAGTTTAATCTGTTATTCCTGGGCATGCACCAATTATAAAAGTGTGGTTTGACTCAAGCTAATGAACAGTTGGATCCAAGCTCAGGAAGTCAAGGATTTGAGGTCTCAATAGGATCTTGGTGATGACAATTTCTTTCTATTTGACAATATGGCTTTCCCAGCTGAAACCCCACATTAAGATGAAGCCTCTGTTGGGCCGCTCACAAGCCACTGCCTTTTATGTGCTAGGTTGGGATACCTGTCATGTTATGGCAAGGAATTTTTAAGCTGCTTTTGTCTAATTGCTACATGCTATGGGTGTTGATAAATGCATAGTTGCCTAAGATGTATTTGGATCTTTTGAAGAATAGCTTCCTTGCCACCATTCAAGGTATGTAGGCCTTAATACTTTGGAAGTGCACAAGGCATGAGTTTGCTGTTCCTTTTTTCCAATATCCTGATCCTGTCTCCATTTCCTAGTTGAATAAAAATATACCTGCAGGGGCATCCATGAATGGCTGTGAACTACACATGACACAACAGTTCAGTATTCTTCTTGGGGTCTCCTGTGCTCGATTTGACTTGTCTGTTTGTGGCGTGCCCCAGCGCATGAGTGCACAAAGCATTGTATGCATTGCAAAGTGGTCTCAATTTGTCCTCTAGGAGCAGCAGCCACAGGCCGCGGACCCCACGGCAGTTTCAGCGCGAGCCAGGAGCCGGACAAGCCGCCACCGCGCCGCCGTCTCCGCCACCGCCTTTCAGCCTAGGTCTCAGGTCAGCAGCTGCGCACCATGGTCGGCGACGACCGAAGCCGTGACCGCGACCGCGACCGCGACCGCGACCGTGACCGCGACCGGCGCCGCTCGCGCTCGCGCGACAGGGACCGCCGGCGCCGCTCGCGCTCGCGCGACAGGCGGGACAGCAAGCGGGACCGCTCGCCGCGCGGCGACTCGCGCAGCGGCGTGATCAAGCTGACGCGGAAGACGCCGAGCAAGTACTGGGACGTGCCGCCGCCAGGGTTCGAGCACATCTCGCCGGTGCAGTACAAGGCCATGCAGGCTGCCGGTCAGATCCCCACCAACCCCATCCCGGACTCGCTCAACAGCAGCGTGACGGGCTCGACGGTGACGCGGCAGGCGCGCCGCCTCTACGTCGGCAACATCCCGTTCGGCGTCACCGAGGAGGAGATGATGGAGTTCTTCAATCAGCAGATGCACCTGAGCGGGCTGGCGCAGGCGGCCGGTAGCCCGGTGCTCGCCTGCCAGATCAACTTGGATAAGAACTTCGCCTTCCTCGAGTTCCGCTCCATCGACGAGTGCACGCAGGCGGTGGCGTTTGACGGTATCAACCTGAAGGGGCAGAGCCTGAAGATCCGGCGGCCGCACGACTACCAGCCGATGCCGGGCATCACCGACGGACCAGCGTCTTCTGTGCCGGGCGTCGTGGGCGTCATCTCCACCGTCGTGCCCGACTCGCCCAACAAGATCTTCGTCGGCGGCCTGCCCACGTACCTGACCGAGGACCAGGTGAAGGAGCTGCTTATGTCGTTCGGCCAGCTGCGCGGCTTCAACCTCGTCAAGGACTCTGGCACGGGCCTCAGCAAGGGCTTCGCCTTCTGCGAGTACGCCGACCTCTCGCTGACGGAGCAGGCGATCCAGGGCCTGAACGGCATGCAGCTGGGTGACAAGAAGTTGATCGTGCAGCGCGCCAACATCGGCAACAAGGGCTCTGGCATGATGGCACCGGTGCAGATCCAGGTGCCGGGTCTGCAGCTGACCGGCGGCGCCGGGCCCGCCACTGAGGTGCTCTGCCTGCTCAACATGGTCACGCCCGACGAGCTGCGCGACGATGAGGAGTACGAGGACATCGTCGAGGACATCAAGATGGAGTGCAACAAGTACGGCGTCGTCAAGAGCATCGAGATCCCGCGGCCCATCGACGGCGTCGAGGTGCCCGGCCTCGGCAAGGTGTTTGTTGAGTTCAACTCGGTGATGGACTGCCAGAAGGCGCAGCAGCAGCTGACAGGCCGCAAGTTCGCCAGCCGCGTCGTCGTCACGTCGTACGTCGACCCGGACCGCTACCACCGGCGCGACTTCTGAGCGGCTCGTGCTCCGGTGCCAGGGGAGTGGCGTTCGGGCGGGCGCGTGACGGCCCGGCCGGCCCGACCGGCCCGACCGCCGGCGCCTGGCGACTGCGACTGTCAGCTGCCTGTTGCCGTCGCTGGTGTCCGGTGCGGCCGGCGGGCAAATGCCGCTCGGTCGGTCAGGCTGACTGCGACGGGGATTTGGTTCGGCAGACTCACCTCACAGGAAGCGGTGTTGGCAGTCACTCAAGAAGAGTTCTGTCCACTTTGGGTGGTCTTTTAGCTAGGGCCATGCCGGCCGTGCGGAGTATGGGTGTTACCATGTCATCTGCGTTCTCGAAATGTCACGACTTCAAACGCCAGCCTGCAAGTGAGCTGCGCCATTTTGGATGGCGAGCATGATCATTGTTTCGACGCTTTTTCATTTGGTGAGCGACACGCGCTTGTCCATGTAGCCCGTGTATTCCTTTGCTGCGTTCCTCCCTTTCTCGTGAGACCCTCTGCCTCCCTTGAACTTGTAAACGTCGATTATCACTCCACCTGACGCTAAAAGTTCGGACATTGTGCGATCTGGATTATGGGCCTGTGAACAGTGATGGGATTTCCTTCCACTCACCTATCCTCGCATTCAGCTGGCTTGTTAGGGCTGTCATTGCCTGTCCAAGTAAACCATGGACCTCTATCCCGTGTCTGAATTTCCCCGACGTGATCGTATCGAAAATGAAACCAGACGGCATTTCGTGATTATGTGGAGTGAAGCCAATACACATCGCCCCGAACCAGACATTTGCATCGTGCCGGGTGATCGAAATACTCGAAGTGTCGGCGCACGCTGAATATGATGACAATTTAGTCTTATCCCGTCGTTGATAGGAATTCTGCATCATACAATGTAGTAATGTATTGCAAAAAAAGACGATTGAAATCTTTCTGTTACGTGTGAATCACGACGCAGCTGGAAGTAAATGGCTGCGTTAGTTTTTATGAGATGAAATTATGAAATAGTGCTCAGGAAAAATATGCGTTCTCGTGTTTTGTCGTAATGCTAGAATGCCTTCTGCACGCAGTGGATGCGTTTAGGCATAGCGGCATGCGATCTGGCTTAACACGTGATACGCGGCCGCAAGGAATTGAAGCGAAAGGCCAGCTGAAGACGAGTCTTGAGATCAGCACACGTGGTGAGTTGGCTGAGCACTCCTGCATGGTCGTCAACCGCCTTTGACCTGTGTTCGACGGCAAGTCGCCATAGCGCGTTCCTCGAGCTCTCAGTCATCACCAGACCACTGGCGGCTGGGCCCGTCCGTTCCATGCCTCATTCTAGGCTTTGTCCGCGCGTGGAATGGGATCGGACGTGGGGTCGTGTTTGATTGGGGTGCTCCCTTCCAACCCGATCGGTCTCTTCCGAGGATACGCGATGCTTGCCACGATGTGTGCAGGTGCATATGGATAATAGCATTTTGGGCCAGTCAGCTGGCGGACGAGTGCTCTGCTTTCGTATGAGCAGTTCACGTGATGGTGGTGATCGGCGTCGGTGGGCACTCACTGGGTCAGGTCGTACTGGGCCACAGGCTGGCTGTGGCACGACACTGCCCAGCGATAGAGGATAACAACAGGCCAGATGCACAGTACTGCTACTCCAACATCGTACCGATACAATTGGCGTCAAAGATGCTTGTCAGGTAACTTCGTCTGTGCTACGCCAGGCTTCACAGAAAAAAATCGCCGACAGTTTCGGTGATGTGTGCTAATTAGTATTATTCATTAACGGGGCATGTGCGCGACGGACTCGACTGCATTCATGAATTTGCTCCAACCAGAATTTTGAGCTACGGCTGGATGTCGCGATATCATATGCGAACACCACCTTTTCAGCCTTGGGCTACGCCTGAGCCGTTTCTCCGCCACCAGTGGGTGGTGTTACTCTGCTGTCAGTTTTTGACATCCGCATCTCTGTTGTAAGCGGGTGACGTGCTGTGTGTTTATCTGTCGTTTGTGGTTGACAGCTGTGTGTCTGCTGTTAGCCTGTGGCGTCTGGCATGGTTTCGGTGATTGACGTGTGCTATTTCGTTGGTGGATGGTGTCCGGACTGTCAGCGGGTGACTTCTGTTGCAATGTTGTCAGCAGGTGACGTTTGTCCATCTGCCATCAGTGGATGATGTCTGTTTATCTGCTGTCAGTAGGCGACATTCAATTGTCTGTGGTCAGTGAGTGACGTCTGACATGTCGTCGCGGGTATTTATTTCGGTTTTCAGCGGATGTCCGTTTCTCTGTCGTCAGCGGTTGACGTCTGTTTCTCTGTCAACGGACAATGTCTTTTTCTCTGTTGTCCGCGGATGATGTTCGTTTCTCTTCCATCAGCGGATGACGTCCGTTTCTCTGTCGTCGACGGATGACGTGTGTTTCTCTGTCGTCAGTGGGTGACGTCCGTTGTTTCTCTGTCGCCAGTGGGTGACGTCCTTTTCTCTGGTCAGCGGCCGACGTCCGTTTCTCTGTCGTCAGTGGATGATATCCGTTCTTCTGTCGTCAGCGGGTGACGTTCGTTTATCATCAGGGGTGACGTCCGTTTCTTTGTCGTCGGCGGGTGACGCCCATTTCTTTGTCGTCGGCGGGTGACGTCCGTTTCTTGGTCGTCAGCGGCTGACGTCCGTTTCTCGGTCGCCAGCGGGTGACGTCTGTCTCTCTGTCGTCAGCGGGTGACGTCTGTCTCTCTGTCGTCAGCGGGTGGCCGGGGACGCGCCCGCCAGTGTTCACTGGACGGCCGGCACTGAGCCCTCCCATGGCCGGCCTGGCTGGCGGCGGCACGCCTGCGCGGACAGTCCTGAGGGCCGTCTGGAGCTTAGCCACCTGCAGACCAGTCACATTGCACGGTACGTGGCGCTGGTCGGACGGTTTTCGAGGCTTTTACGGTCAACTCTGGCACAGCGTGTGTCAGTGTTACCAGTGACTTCAATCAGCGTGTCTTCACGTGACATGGGACACCGCTGAGCGTGCGACAGGGTCAGCCGTACATCGGACGGGTAACATAACTCTTATACATACATACATACATACACACACACACATATATATATATATATATATATATATATATACATATATATATATATATATATACACCACATGACCCTACAATCATTAATCGAGTAAGGCTACATTCGTGAAAAGTTGATACAAAATGAGTAAGCGTCACTAAGTTTGTAGAATGACGACCGGCGTTCCTCAGCGGTCGTATATATATATATATATATATATATATATATATATATATATATATATATATATATGTATATGTATATATAAATTCATAGTTTCTTGATAAATTCATGGTTTCATTCGGTCTCTTTCCAAATTCAATTCAAATCATTTTGGTCGTGAAATAGTGGCTTGTACCTTCGACAAGACAGCTTGATAACTTCTTATTTTCATTCGTTTTCTTTCCAGATTCAACAAAAACCATTTTGTTCGTGAAATAATGTATTGCACATTCAACTAGGATCCCTCTCGCGCTCGCGGCATGCTACCCGCTGAATTGGTGCAGTCCTCTGGCAGCGTAGAAACCATTTTTCTGGTGGATGTGGTTTCTGTAGGAATCGGCAGGGGCTGGTGTTCCTAAGCGCAATTATGCTGCGCAAACGCTCGTACTCTGTTGAAACCAGTTTTATTAGATTGCAAACCTTGTCCTTGTTTTTATCGTCAGATGTATTTTGTCGTGATGTCGACGCGCAATGGATACATTTTGCGGCGCTGATTGAACTGGACGACCAGAAATGTGGCCATTTCGGAGCGGGCCGCGCTTCGTTGGCCGTGGTCAACTTGCTCTGATATGCGGCAGCCTCCTGTGCTGCCCCTTGCGGAACCCATGGGTGAAACGATTACTCCGTTTTTAGGGAAGAACTCTTCTCGCGCCTGCCTCTGGCGGCTGACGACTGCAAACAGCGCATTGCCGCTGGCCGCGTGCGACACCGGCGCAGTACAGCGGCAGCCTAGTAGATCAGTAGTTAGTTTCGCTGCCGCAAGATGGCTCTTGCATCACGCATCGGCCTGCAGCGCGCTTGTGCACCGGCGCGAGGAAGTGTGGAGCATCGCCAGCGCCTCGCAGCGGCCGTTCGTCACAACTGCCAGTGGATGGCTTCGCAAAACCGGCAGCGTGCCCGTCAAAGAAGACGATAAGGAGGAGAAGCCGAGCATATTCAAACGGTTCAAGCAGATGTACAAGGACTACTGGTATGTGCTGGTGCCCGTGCATCTGGCGACGTCGGCGGTGTGGTACGGCAGCTTCTACTACGCATCAAAGAGGTGAGAGGGCGCCTTATGCTACCATCACCCGTGCTCTGATAATCCGGGCGTCGTCACGGAAAGCGTCTCCGTTTTTGTGGTGTGACAGGTGCTGCGTCGGAGGGCGTGGATGGCGCTCCCCCATAAACCAGAGATCTGATAAATGGTAAAGTCGCTCCGTAATCATGTGGGAGGGATGCTGTTATAGGCGTAGTGGTCTGAACATTAATTTTTGGTCGTTACAAAACACTCATGTTTTATCGGTCTTTGCCGCTGTATAGAAAGCCTCTTCCAAGGACACGTTCCTCCCACGCCTGCCGTCCATCCGACCCCTGTCTGACCCCAGCATGACCCTGCCCGGCAGCGGTATCGATGTGGCGGGTTTGCTTGAGTCGTGGGGCTTCAGCGAGACCATCACGGACAAGCTGCGCCACTCGTCCGCCGGCCACCTGGCCGTGGCGTACGCCCTCTACAAGATCGCCACGCCTGCCCGCTACACTGTCACCCTCGGTAGGCCGCCCCTCCGCCCGGAGCGGGGCGGGGGCACCCGGCGGCCGCCGCCGTTCGGATGACTCACCAGCTTTCCGATGCTTTTTCTCCACGCAATTGCGTGGTGAGAAAGTGGACGTGGGTTCTGCCCCAGACTAAAATTTGTATGTGCCAGAAGATGATTGAAAGTGACTAGATATCAAAAGATGCTTATTCCGAGATTTGCTCTCGTGCTGGCTTTTTCAGCCACCTTTCAGATAACTCATGGTCAACCTCACCTGTTAGTGGTGCTGCTTGTGTTACCGTCAACTGTCAACTCAACAGATTTAAAAGGCATTGTGGGATCTGGGGTATGCGCTTCTGATCTCATTTAAACCCCCACTTCTGGTGTTCGTGGCAAGAGAAGAGTCACGCTTAGGCCGTTCTACAAGTACACCAGCCAAACAGCGTTCAACATGTACTAGTTACAGTTTTCTCTGACAGGTGGCACCACGTACTCCATCAAGTTTCTGAGCGAGCGTGGTTACATCCAGCCGATGCCGTCCCGCAAGGACCTGAAGGAATTATACGACGACCGGCGCGAGGAGCTGAGAGACCGCATCGGCGAGCGACGTCGAGAATGGCGCGAAAAGTTCCAGAAACAACGCAGGGAGTGGCACGAGAAGTACCACAAACAACGCAAAGAATGGCGCGAAAGGTACCAAGAGGGCCGCAAGGGCGGCTGGCGCAAGAAGTGAGCGCACGTCCCGTGATCGCTTTTGGCGCCATCTGCTTATGTGATGATTGTTTGTCTGCTTCTGTCTCAGCGTGAGACTGTATTCCTGTAAGGTCAGACTGCCGTCAGTTTTGTCTGGGACCGGCTGGCGCCGATAAGGCCCGTTTATTGGGCTGCGCCTCCGCTGCCACGCGGCGCCCTGTGCCAGTCACTTAGTGATATCGCCGGCTGCAAGATCGCACTGTTAATTATTTTCTCGAACGTGATCATTCGCCGGCTAGCGGCCTGCGACTGACGTTTGCTAC